CGGTGGTGATTAGAGATGTGCAAATTCTGATGCTACACTCTTCTTTTTGTTGCCATTTTCACGTACTTCAACTCTGAAAGTGAGCTGAAACCAAAGCCACTAGGAACAAAGAGAGAAGCGACGAAGAAGCCTCCATTATTTCTTCTAGTACTCAGTTCATTTTTAGCTGCAGAGGAAAGTGAATAAGAAGAGGGAGAAGGAAGGTTATTCACTCTGCATTTTCAAGCCATGGAGGAGAGGCCAGAGACTGAGTTGATATCGATTCCAGCGACGCCACGCGTGTCGACGCCAGAGATACAGACGCCGTCAGGGCAGAGGTCGCCGAGGCCGGCTTCGAAGGAAGCGAAGTCGTCGACAGCATGGACGCCGACGTCGTTTATCTCTCCCAGGTTCTTGAGTCCCATAGGGACTCCGATGAAGAGGGTTTTGATCAATATGAAAGGTTACTTGGAAGAAGTGGGTCATCTCACTAAGCTTAACCCTCAAGACGCTTGGCTTCCCATCACTGAATCACGCAATGGGAACGCTCATTACGCCGCCTTTCATAATCTGAATGCTGGCGTTGGCTTCCAAGCTCTGGTCTTGCCTGTTGCTTTTGCTTTTCTTGGCTGGTATGGACATTTTCTTTTTTTGATCTAAAACGCCTGCTCGAATACTTACCAGGCTTCCATATTTTGTTTTTGGAAGAACCAAGCTTCCATATTTAATCTTTATATAGAACTTGCACTGCATGTTATTTCTATATTTAATGTCAGAACTGAGCTGATAGACACCTCTATCTATATAAGGAATGAGAAGTATAGAAACAGAACAGACTCATTTCTGGCAAAAGCATTGGTGTTTCTATACTGGTATTGCTGATTATTAATGGTTTTTCATTACGTTAGTTTGAAGCTGGATGTTGTTCACCCACTGTTTCATTTTCTTGCAAGTTTATTTCCACAATGTACAGCTTTTATCACCTAGGAAAAGAATCTACATACACTTTTTCACAATATCACATTTATTTCTTTTGTCGCTTTGGGGTGAACGTCATTCTTTTCTCTTTTTTGGGTGAAAGTCACTCTGTTTCTCCCTTTACACGCAGTCACCGAATTTGACTAAAGATTAAGTGGGTGTGGTCCTACCTAGCCATCCTTTACTATGTTCTTTAGAATTAACCATCATAGATTCGAATTGGAAAGAAAAAAGTGCAAGTCATTACCTTATCGGTTATCTCTTCATTTTTCACAAGTTGAATTATTCTAGAGATTAAGATCTGCCGGGTCCACTTGTTTTTTGTGATTCTTTTTATGGGATTAAGTTGGATGGGCCCTTTTCCTGCTGGTTCATGATATCTATTTCTCATGATTTTGTACAGCATCATATCAAGCTGATAAGCATGTTTGCAAGAATAAACTATGCTGCCTTTAATGTTTTGAAATCATAGAGGAATACTTTGTAAAATTTTAATCTTCCCAGCCTATGGGAACGATATGCTATGTTCTTTGAAGTTTGAAGAAAAGAAAAGACCCACAGTTCAGCTCAATCAGGTGTTTTCTTGATTAGATTTTGAAAACAAAAAACAAAAAACAAAAAAAAGCCTGCAGCTGCAAATTTCGGGAAAGAAGGATTAACCAATCTTTGATGGAATGTAAAAGAAATCCAGAACGCGTCAGTATGTCCTTTAAGGTCCTTCATTTGCATGTGGCTTGGTCTGAAAATAATGTTCATGGGATTCATTTGGGGTAGAGCTCCCTGTCCAATACTCTGTAGATGCAATAATTGTAAAAGCAAATAGGAGAGTAAAACAAAGATATTGAAATGATAAAAGGAGATTTTTTTTTTCCTGAGTAGTGTTAACTTGATTTTTGCTTTCCGTGGTTGTTTGTGTAGGAGTTGGGGTATATTGTCCTTAACTATAGCCTACTGTTGGCAACTTTACACCTTATGGATTCTGGTTCAGTTACATGAAGCTGTTCCAGGAAAGAGGTACAATAGATATGTGGAGCTCGCACAAGCAGCTTTTGGTGAGAACAGATGCTTAAACCCTCCACTGTATATATTCAATACTTATCTGTTTGATTAACTCTCTACTGATAGCAATCTAGTTACAAGTAGTAAAATCATGTCAATGGAAAATAGAAGAACAGTTAAAAGGCATTGACATTAATGTCTGTCGTGAATACTTGAAGCTAATGTTGCAAGTTGAGCTTTCATGTCAAATGCTACAGTTATCCTGTTACACTGCTCTGGCGTTGCTGTTGAGTTTCACAAATTCCTTAATTTCTGCAATTTGTAAACCTTAGGAAACATAGAAATTTAAATAATTGTTATGATCCTTTCAACATATGTATAATGTATTCCTGTATTACAAAGCCTCACAGATTATTTCCATAAAACTGGAATTTGGTCAAGTAACAAACCTGTGAATGGGATTGGAGGGTACCTTAGGAGAGAATTTCTAGTAAATTAACTTTATGCATCATATCAAGTTGAATTGATGTAATGTCTTTCTTAATTTTGCAGGAGAAAGATTAGGAGTTTGGCTTGCGCTGTTCCCAACAGTTTATTTATCAGCAGGAACTGCAACTGCTTTGATTCTCATCGGAGGGGAGACCATGAAATTATTCTTCCAGATTGTTTGTGGCCCTATCTGTTCGTCAAATCCTCTAACAACAGTCGAGTGGTATCTGGTGTTCACTTCATTGTGCATTGTTCTATCTCAGCTCCCCAATCTTAACTCAATTGCAGGGCTCTCTCTAGTAGGAGCCGTGACAGCCATCACTTACTCCACTATGGTGTGGGTGCTCTCTGTTAGCCAACAAAGGCCACCAACAATCTCTTATGAGCCTCTTTCACTGCCATCCTCTGCTGCTGCTTTCTTCTCTGTCATGAATGCACTTGGGATTGTAGCCTTTGCATTCAGAGGCCACAATTTAGTTTTAGAGATTCAGGTATATACTGTTCTATTTACTGATAGGATCTACTTCTTTCATTGTAGTTAAACTAGTTTCAATGTCATTTCTTACAAGAAATGGTAATTCAGTTTATCTAAGGGAGTTTTATATGGCTTGTTTCAGGCAACTATGCCATCAACATTTAAGCACCCAGCTCATGTGCCTATGTGGAGAGGAGCCAAGGTTGCGTATTTCTTCATTGCCATGTGCCTGTTCCCTGTTGCCATTGGAGGCTTTTGGGCTTACGGAAACCTCGTAAGTAATATGACTTTACACTAATTATCACCTTCCTTCCATTACAGAGGCGCTTGACGAATTAAAAAGCAAACAAAAGAAATATACAGCACCCTCCCACCTCTTTAATTCATTCTTTATTGAAGGAGTGTTGTCGTCTGTTTCAGTTGATGGCAAAAGAGGATGATAAACAATTAGATATTAATACGATTTGCAGTTTTAATAGTAGTTGCTATTTGATTGCAATTAATGAATTGTATATTCTTTCTTCCATCATGTCAAGCAATTGATTGTTGCACTTCTCTCACTTGTTTTAGATGCCTTCAGGAGGGATCCTCAGTGCACTGTATGCATTTCACAGTCACGACATTCCAAGAGGACTTCTTGCTCTGACTTTTCTTCTTGTGGTGTTCAACTGTCTGAGCAGTTTCCAGATATATTCAATGCCAGTTTTTGATAGCTTTGAAGCAGGATATACAAGCCGTACAAACCGCCCTTGCTCAATCTGGGTTCGATCTGGTTTTCGTGTTTTCTATGGATTTGTCTCCTTCTTCATAGGGGTGGCACTCCCATTCCTTTCAAGTCTTGCTGGACTGTTAGGGGGACTCACTCTTCCGGTCACATTTGCTTACCCTTGTTTCATGTGGGTTCTAATAAAAAGGCCCACAAAATACAGCTTCAATTGGTATTTCAACTGGATCCTGGGCTGGCTGGGTATCGCCTTCAGCTTGGCCTTCTCCATTGGTGGTGTGTGGAGTATGGTCAACAATGGGCTTAAGTTGAAATTCTTCAAACCCAATTAAGAAGATGAAGAACCGCTAAAAGCAGGCTTTGGATTTCTGCAGAAGTTATGGATAGCTATGTATCCTGTTGATGTTTCAATATCAGCAAAAAGAACACTTATATATATATATATATA